CAGAACCGTAAGCCAAAATAAACCTCTTTTCTTTAGAAAGTATCCAGCCTCAGGTATTTATAGCCATCCAAAACTGGCTACTGCAATACTTGACTACATGTTTCCTAAAATCAGGATATTCTCTTACATAATCATAGTGCAAATATTAAAAATCAGGAAATTAATATTGTAGACTGTTTCTCTATTTGGGCTTGTCTGATGTTTGCTCGTGCTGATACTCAGATAATGAATTTGGGGCAGAAAAAGTGCAGAGGTGATACTGTGTCATTTTTAGGGGACTCTATCCGGAGACATAATGATTTTGCTTTGTCCTATTACTAGTGCTGGTAGCTTTGATTTCCTCATGTCTGCCAGGTTTCTCCATGGTTAAGTTACTATTTTTTCCTTTCTATTTAATTAGTATCTGTTGGGGGAGCTAATTTGAAATTATGTAAACATCTCACTGTTCCTCAAGCTTTTACTTTGATTTTAACATGTTAAGCAATACTTTCTTGAATTAATTATTTATATGGTGGTTTCTTAATAGTGATTTTCTCAATATTTTATTTCTTCTATATTTATTGGTTGGTTTGCTACTATAAAAAATAGGTTTTTTCATTTTTTAAAAGATATTTTTATCACCATGAACTCAGATTCCTATTTTACTCAATGGGTTATAGTTTTTTATTGTCATTATTTGTTTTGGTGGTTAAATAAAATGAAACCAGGATGATAATTCTGAGGTCTGTTCAGTGTCAGTTTCTTTAAGCTAGCTTTGACATGTCCCCATCATTCTTTGAGCATTTCCTTACTTTCTGTGACAAGTTGATCCAGGCTCATTTTGCATTTTCCCAGCTCCAGCCTTAGAATCAGCCATTTCCCAAAGAAAGATCCCTGGTTTCTTTTAATACATAGGATTTAGAAACCAAGAGCTAAGCATTAGGTGTGCTTATTGCTATAAGGGTATTATTAATTGTAGATTCTCTCAGTGAAAAGAGATAAGACATAGATATATGTGAGTTTATATATGTAGTATGTATAGAAGCACTGTGAATTCCTACTGATTTCTCCATTTCCCATTAAATACCACAGTTTTCCTTTTTCAATATTTATAATGGCCTTCTCCAATAGTGAGAAATAAGACGCCCAATGTCCACAATCCATTTGCTTATTTTCACAATTCTAGAATATACAGTAATGCCAGAATTGCTTACCCATACCTCTGTGGGAAAGGAACTTATGCCCAGAGCTCAATATTTGTTCATTCCTATTTTTCTTTAGCCTGAAGACGTACAGTCCAAATAATATATTTGGAAGTAATTTGCATTAGTTTTTTTCCTCTTCAGTACACTTATGTTATTCATTTAAAATATATTTCAGTTTATTCTTTTCTGTATATATTCCATATGGGTTCTTATCTTAATCTCAGAGCCAGAAGTGTTCAAAGAGGTAAACTCAGAGACATGTCACTGTGCCACTTACTGCTTTCATCCTTTTCCATCCTATCTTTTCCACTCAGTGCCTTCTGCCCCCTCACCCCAGTAAGTTCCAGTTATTAGTTCCTTATTTCTTTCCTATATTTCTTTTTTGAACAAAGGAGAAGATACAAGGATATTTTCTTATGTGCTATTGAACCACTCCCTTTTGAAAAAATTTAGTTTAATGTTTAAATATTGACAAATATAGTTGTATGTATTCACGGGGTACATAGTGATGTTTCAATACATGTAATACATAGAGATCAGATTAGAGTAATTAGCATATCCATCGTCTCAAACATTTGTCATTTCTTTGTATCAGGAACATTGAATAATAACCTCCCTCTGGCTATTTGAAAAAATGTGTTATTGTTAACTGAAATCATCCTACAGTGTGAACCACTCTGCTTTATCATTTGTTTCTAATATTTTGCAGTGAAAAATAATGCTGACCCTTTGCAAATATATTTTCATATTATTGGAGGTATATCTGTAAGGTAATTTCTACAAGTAGGACTCTAAGTTCAAAAGACAAGCAGATATGTTGTTTTTCTAGATGTTACCAAATTCACCTTCATAAGGGTTATTGCATCACTTCAGCAATACGTAAGAGTTCTGGCTTTCCCACAGCTTTGCCAACAGAGTATGTTATTATACTTTAAATAACTCTACTTATGACATATTGGTATAGTTTTAATCTGCATTTCTTTTATTGTGAGTATGACTGAACATCTTTTCATTTACTTCAGCTATTTGTGACATCATATATCATTTCTGTGAATTGTCTGTTCATATCCTTTATTCATTTTTATATTGGGGTTTTTTTTTTATTTCTCCTTATTCTTTAAGAGTTCTTTAAAAATGAGGGATACTATTATCCCTTTATTTGTGAGACATGTTGCAAATATTCTTTTTAAGTTGATCAATTGTCTGCTGTCTGCTTAACTTACACAAAGAAATAGTAATCTTAGCAAGTAAAGAATAAACATTCCCTTTCTATTTTGTTTAAACTATTTGTATGCTTACTAATCATTTTTACCCCATATACTATAAAGGTAAACTTCAACAGAGATTTGAATTGATAACATTTTATAGAGAGGCATACAGCACTGCCTGTTCATTTGTTCTGGTTTGAATTCTAAAAGTGAAGAAAAATGTGAATAATAAAAGCACAAATAAATAAATGTCTCAAATTAAAAGGTTGCTTCTTCTTTTTCCCCTTTTCCTTAATTTTTTTTTTTTTTTTTTTGAGACAGAGTTTCACTCTTGTTGCCCAGGCTGGGTGGAGTGCTAAGGCCCCGTCTTGGCTCACTGCAACCTCTACCTCCCGGTTTAAGCAATTCTCTTGCCTCAGCCTCCGGAGTAGCTGGGATTATAGGCAACTGCCACCACGCCCAGCTAATTTTTGTATTTTTAGTAGAGACAAGGTTTCACCATGTCGGCTGGTCTCGAACTCCTAACCTCAGGCAATCCACTCGTCTTGGCCTCCCAAAGTGCTGAGATTACAGGCATGAGCCACCGGGCCTGGCCCTTTCCCCTGTTTTATTGCTTTCTACCCTTAGTATCAATTCTCTTTAGACCAAGAACACTCTGCATAAATGTTTATCTTTAACACAGGTTTGTTGCTTTTTGAAAATTTATTCACCACTCTCTTCTTTTTTGAAATGTTACATGTTTGTCTTCTTTCTCATTAGTTTCTTGTCGATGTCCAATATTTTGTTTGGTGTCTAGTATCCCCGGAGGTGTAAGCAATGCCTTTCCCTGTGCGTTTGCTCTGTCAGTCCCTTTGGTACCATGTTTAAAACACTCTTCTTTTTTAGGATGATCACTTCTTAGTTGGTTAGTGAAATGACACTAGGGGCATGAAACCATGTGGCATTAAGCAAAGTGTGTAAGCATTGGGAGATCTCCTAGAAACAAGCTTTGGAAGTCTGACAGTCATTAACAGGCCTCCGTAATTGGCAGGGGTTGGAGGTGGGAGAGTGCTGGACAGAAAGTGCAGTATGGGGTAAATAGGCTCCACTCCTTTGGAAGTGGAGCACTTTCTGTTTCTTTTCTTTCCTTTTTTTTTTTTTTTTTTTTTTTTTGTAATGCTTAGATTAAGGTAGCTTTGAGAGGAATTAGGAACAGTTTCCTGAGTGCTTTCCATGTCCCCCTTTTCATTACCAGGCCGTTATATACACATCTGCCCACACGACACGGTAAATCCAGGAGCAGGGATCCTCAGAAGCACATTCTGAAATTACTGGAGAAGGAAAAGAGAAGCTAAAGCCTGGAGGGCAGTAGAACCACAGAATGCAAACACATCCATTCTGCTGTTAACTGTTTTACTAGGGAATGCTGGTTACAGACAGTGACATAAGAGAGCAAAGGTTGTGGAAACACCACTGCAGAAAGCGGTAGAAAGAGTAATAAGAGAATAATAGTTAAAAACAAAGTGTAAATTTCCAGTGCCCACATGGGTTTGGAAATGCTTACAAGTGGTGTCATGCAGAGCAAATTTTATGGGTTGTCTCTGTTCACTCCAATCCTCCTGCATATTTACTTTTGGAGATGATGTAAACAGAAATCAATAATACATAGGTTGATTAAAAGGCTATTATCTAAAGAGTATTATAAGTATTGCTGTACAGCCACGTTTTACTCTTTCTTTTCTTTTTTATTGGCAATTCAAAATTCAGTATCTATGATTTGCGAGGAAACATAAAAAAGTAAGTAATGGAGACCCTGTGACAATACCGGTTCCCTTAACTTACATTCCTGAGTTCTTCTCACTAGATGTGTTTTTCTTTACATGGGATAGGGAACAATAATAGCTCAATGATTCTGAAGGATTCAGCTTTTGAATAAAAGCCATAGACACAGAACAAAATTGAGGTAATAAAAAGAAAAAAAAAAAAGCAAAACATTTTGTATATAAGTAAAAACCTTATTTGTACCCTTACTTTATAATAATCTCCTCTCCATTTTATTCTTGACCCCCAAATTTTTATGCTAAACTTTATCTGTTTTAGTGCAGGGTCACATGAATTTTCAAGGCTTTTAATGTTTTCACATAATAGAAATTCAGTTCACACCAAGTTAGCCCCTCATATGCCGAAGACTGTGGTAGGTGTGGTGGAGCATGCAAAGAAAAGCTCAACATGGTCTCAACTCTGACAATGTAATCCTTTAGTATAGGGATAGCAATCTAGAAATTTGAGAAATGGGCAAAGCTAGCAAAGTAGAAAAAACTCTGGGGAGGTCATCATGACTCCCTCAGGTTCAGAATTGAAGTCCTAGCAGAGCAGTGCTCTCAGCTCCTTCCAAGGCCCACTTAGCCTGGGACACTCCCCACGCTCACAGCAATCAAAGATGATACACAGCTGTCTTACTGCCTGAAAGAGAAGCAGAAGAGAGGAGATGAAGTTTTATTGATAAAACAGAAAGCAGGGTCAAATCACCTAGGTTTGCTGTTTGCAGAACTAGATTATTGAAAGCAAATCAGATACAGCTCTGCAAATATAAAGCATCTTTATACATAAAGATGTTGAGAAGCAGTCATGATATAGCCTGTGTAATGAACTTATTTTAGAACAAAGGGCAAAATAAGCAGATTATTTTTCACACAATGGGATGCACAGATGTCATTTACCCATGCACTGACTGATCTTCTGTTTCTTATTCGTCTCTTCCTGCAGCACACAAACTCTTTGTGAACAAAATTATGAACAGTTATGTGCACACATAAGAGTTCTTCAACAGATAGGTCAGGGGTAAAATGATAGCGGGAGATTTCAGGATAGATAGCATCATCTTTTTTTCCTCTAATTACAGGATGAGTAAATACATGAAAGAAAATGTACTAAGTGTAGCTAAGAAAAATCACAAAATAAAAATTATTCACAAAATCAAACACTCGGATCATGTGTTATATCTTACTAAGTCTATCCTCCTAAATATGTGTAGATAATATAAATGTGCATATCAACAAAACCATTGGAACATTTAGTTAATAATGTGTCTGTCTTCTGTGCATCTCGTCATTATTTCTCTCTTCGTGATAATGTTTATTCGATTATATTGATGTATCATACTTCAGTATGTTATTGTTGAAAATTATATTTTTGTTGTTTTTCAATATTACTTTTATAATAATATCTACCCTTCATTGGATGTTTATAATCTCTCCTGGACTTCATTAAGCAACATTTACTGGACAGTTTCAACCCATTGGTTCTTATCATGGGATTAATGTTTTCTGCAGTCATACCTCCCAGCCTTGCTATTTTGGATCTTGGTTCTTTGTTACACAGCAGTTTCATAATGACATACAAAGAAAATTCCATAGTGTTCCCATCATTTTCAATTATTAGCCATTTTCCTAGCTTAAAACTCAAACTCGAGTACAGGACCATTCTTCCCAGAGTCCTGTAGAGACTTCTTCATCACAGAGTTCCCTGATGTGGAGAAGCACAAGATTGAACCTGACTGAGCAATTTCCTGCCTCCTTATCTCCCACCTCCCACCTCCTGTGTCCTTTGCTTACAGGACAGCATTCTGCAGGAGGGCCCTAGCAAAATGGCGGCTCAACCCTGGCTATCTCTAGCAGTGTTTCTTGCCATACAGAAACTCAGGCATTTCAGCCCCACAAAATGAGGAGGATGCAGCTTGCCTCTGCATTATGCTCCCTCTATGTCTACTCTATTACCTCTCACCAATTTGCTCTTTTTTGTTTCAGGTAGCCACAAATTGATCAAAAAGCTACTTAAAATGCCAACTTTTCCTTCTTGCAGAGATCCTTAATCTTTTCAAGTGATTCATCTGATTCTCTACCTACCTAGCCCCTCTTCACACTTAGTTAAATCATGCCCCTTGGGAGAAAAAAACCCATAGTCATGTCTCTCCCAACCTAAAGGAGTTGACAACTCATTAATCTGAAGATTTCCTTCTCTTTTCCTCACCTGTCTTTTGCTTGTTTGCTTGTATGAGCTAAAGTTTATGCAGATGGTCTAAGTGAGTGTTAATCAAAACTTAATGTGCACCTGAGTCACCCCGGAACTTTTTAAAGTGAAGATTCTAACTCCATAACTGTGAGGTGGGGCCTGAGAGTCCTATTAGGTTCCTAGGTGATGCTTATCCTGCTGGTTTATGGACCACTCGTAGATTAGCAAGGGTCCAGTGATCATGGTTGATTGTGGTAAGACTATTCCCCCCCACCCCTTTTTTCTTTTTCTTTCTTTTTTCTTTTTTTTTTTTTGAGATGGAGTCTCACCCTGTCACCCAGGCTGGAATGCAGTGGTGCGATCTTGGCTCACTGCAACCTCCACCTCCCAGGTTGAAGCAATTCTCCTGCCTCAGCCTCCTGAGTAGCTGGGATTACAGACATATGCCACCATACCCAACTAATTTTTTGTATTTTTAGTAGAGATAGGATTTTACCATGCTGGCCAGGCTGGTCTTGAACTCCTGACCTCGTGATCCGTCAGCCCTGGCCTCCCAAAGTGCTGGGATTATAGGCTTGAGCCACCGGGCCCAGCCTTTTCCCCCTTTTTAGAAGGCCCTAGAGGTCACTGTGGCCCCAATGGCTGGCTGCTGCCCTGTAAATATGGGGTTCTAAATCATGTTCCCTGAACTTGAGCTCCATTGTTGATTTCAGGTAAGCATAAAAAGTTTCCTTCAGTATTTTTTGTCACATATATTATCTTAATTTTCACATAACATTAGTATTATCTCTGTTTTACTGATGAAGAAATTGAGGCTTCAAGAAGTTAAATTGCTCATCCAAGATTACATAATTACACATACACAAACCAAGAAAAAATCCCATTCTGTTCAGTCTCTCTTCAACCCTTTCCCCCAATGATTCTTGCTACTGTGATAGTATCTTGCACCCTAGGGCAATTTTCACAAAAATTGCAATGAAATTGTTTGCTGTAATAACAATCAGAACTGAAGTTTATTAAGCATTACTATTAATAAATGCCAGGCCTAGTATTGATAACTTTTTCCCACATTATTTTGTTAATTTTCACATCTGCTCAAAGAGATGGTTTAACTTTGGAGAAGTTAAGAAAGAAGTTAGGATTGATAGCTTCACTCCAAAGCCCAAGATGTGAAATGTAACATGATGTCGTGGTATATATGGCTATAGCAGTATCTTTTTGGTTTTAATCTCAGAAAAAGAGGTAATTCCAGTGAGCTACAGAAAGAAATAAAGATAGATAGATGGATGTTTGTAAGATGATTTTGTAAGTTGTAATAAAAAAAGCTTGCCACTAAATTATTTGGAGGTTTCTACAAACTTCCAACGCACACTTACTGAGATGTGATGATAACTTGTTAGGCCTGAACTGAATTGTTACATGGACTTAAGTGTTTGTCATTTCATGAGCTGATGTTCCTGCAAGTTTACATGTCTGGCTGTCATGCTGATTTGTAGTATGAGTTGGAGTTTGTCCCCTATAAAATTCTGGGGTTTCATTTGTAAATTCTAGAAAATTACTATAGAATTGAAGACCTGGATGTTCCAATGGCCTAGGAATATGAGGTGCAGAGGATCTAAGTGACTGTTCCAGGGTGACCATGAGCTAGTTGTAGGCTTAAACTCAAATCCAGGTCTCCTGCAATGCACTCCAGGCCTTATTCAGTCAGGCTGTGTCTCATTTCCTTTTGCACAAACCTTTGGGGGAAATGTGCTAGTTCTGAATCTGTTCTCTATAACCTGTTAATGTCCCTCAAGGGAATAGGAATGTTAGGTATCTATACTGCAGCGTGCACGAGCAACACTAGCTTTTGCTCTCTGAGCCCAGCTCTTTGCCAATATGTGATTTCTCTGAAGACATCAGGAGACCTAGCACAGGGCATAGACAGTCCTGGAAATGTGAGCCCCTTCTGCTGTGTATCTATATGCCTGTGACCCGGCATCCTTTTGCCTTTAATGAGATTTTGCAGTGACAGGATTGGAACAGATTGCTGGCATTATGGCAGCCAGGATATTGTCAGGAGGAACTTGGCAGTGCTCGTAGGTGTTATGATGCTGGCTCTTTGCTCAAGGGCAAGAATATTAAAGGGAAAATTAGAGATAAAACAGAAAGTGAGAGGTAATGTCAGAAAAGTTCAGAAGATGAAACCAGTAGCGGTAAATATATAGAAAATGATTTGAGGTTTACACACTTTTGAGTCCTTGGTGAGTGAAGACAGAGCCAAGAATTGCTTCAGTGATATTCCTTCATAAATCTGCATAATAATCTCTCGGCGGGGCTTTGGTGAAATTACAAGTATTCATTTACTAAATTGGGTTCAGTGTCTGTATCACGCATGCCATATGAATATTCAGTGCAGTGAATGCTTCCCAAGCTATGTTGAAGTTAACACATAAGCTGAATATAACTCAAGTGGAACTCAAAATTGCACGCTTACTTTAACTTAACAGAGGTCCTAGTGTCTTGAAGAATTGGACCCACCCCCACCCCCAATATGTCAATTAATACTCATTCTAATAAAACCAAATGTAAAGTGCTTTCAGTATTTGTATCTGATTTTTGGCATTAAGTAGTTTTCTTCATAACAGAGGATTAGGATAATAATACACAGGGCTCTGAATGGTTCCTTAGAACACAGTGGCAGCTGCCAAGCAGATTCAAGAAGAATGTTTAATTACAATACTCAGTAATAACAACAAAGAAAAAGTTCAATGAGAAGAAACAACTCTACTATGAGACAAAGGTCTGTGCTGAGTGAAAGAGGAACAGTGGATCACAGACATTTGTTGTAGCTGGAGTTGCCTTGGCAGCCGATGGACATTTCACCTTAAAACTTGAGCATTTTTCTTCTCGAAGCAACTCGGTTGGCTTTCTAGGGTAAGCATACAGAATCATTTCTATTTCCAAAAAATGCATTTTTCCACAAACTAAAATTAATAATTCTCAGAGAAGAGTGATCACTGCCAATTCTATATAGCAAAGGAGCACTTAACTAGGAGTCAGGCAGCTTGAGTTCTCATGCAGAACTCTGTAACAAACCAACTGTTTAAACCTCAAACAGCTGGTTGGTTTATCTGAGCCTCTCTTCACTATGAACTTTTCCATGATATTCTGATTATACATATATATTTTGATATAAAAATATTCCTTTGGAAAAATTCTTGATCATATTTTATATTGTCATAAAGTATAATGTGACTTCAGATCCACAGTAAATAGTCAAATGCAGCATGTGAAGTTTAATTGAAAGACAGTATTCACTTATACTTATTATATGGGAGGTATTATGCTAAATGTGCTTCACATGCAAAATGTCAGCCAATAAGGTAGTTTTATTATTATCTCCATTTTGTAGGTGGAGAAATTGAAGCCCCCAAAATTGGGCAAAAGACACTTGCCCAATGTCTTGCCCAGTTAGTCAGTAGCAAAACTGAGATTCAAACTCCAGTTTCTTTAACTCCAATATGCTTTTAGCTATTTGCACCTCCTTCCTGTAGGACAATTGGATGCATGCTGAGCTTTTCTTGTCCATCACTAGTGTGTGCTGCAGAAATTGGTTTGGGTTCTTAATTGAGTGTATTAATCATCTAAAGAGGTCTAGAGTGAGATATGGGAAGAGCCTTGCTTAAATGACAAAGCTTTGAATTTCAGAGGCGCTGAAAGAGGGAGGCATGGAGGCTCAAATCACTATGCTTAGCCATGGGAAGCAATTGGAGAGGCAAGTTTTCTCCTATTTTTAAGGATATTACTTTCAGATATCTGTTGCTGTGAGGCAAATTAGATAAAGAAGCCTACAAATTAGCAAATAGCACCTGGGAGGACAGTCAAGGACAGTGGGTTGCGCATACAAAACAGGAAGGAGTAACTTCTCACTTGTATGGGTCTTACCAATGCGAGGAGGTTTTGAAAAGCTAATGTAAGGATTTGGGGAGTGGTAATTCTGAAAAAAGAAAAAAAGGTTTATTTTAGCAGAGATAATATGTCTGGATTAGAACACATAGAGGTTGCAGCTAGAGAATTGGGTGTGGAGTTTTCTTAATGATGGAAGACAAGCCAAGTCTGGGGAAAATAATTTAGTGGTGGTATCTGGAAGGAGCTTCATCAGTCTCAGGTGATGAGGTGTCAAGATGTAGTCCCATCATAGGGAATGCTTCTCCATGGGAATATTTGTTCTTGGAGAGGTGCCAGAAGGGAAACTATGTGCCGAAGTCAGCTTAAGTTTATAGCAACGTACATGGAAAATAAAAAGATTTCCTAAACATGAAATTAGAGAAAATCCATTTTTCTGTAAAAACATTCAAAGTTAGACCATTATATCCCATCAAACATGATAATCTGATAGAATGGAAATGTCTAAGAATGACTTGCTAAGGAAAACTGTAGAAGAAGAATAGAAAGGCCTTTGGGGATTCTTATAACTAGGGAGAAGACTGAAGAATACTTTGAAGAGGTAGAAGGTGAGATTTATTATATCAAAGTTTAAAGACCTACAGAATGTAATTAATTGGGTTAGAAAGCAAGATTTGGCAATTGGCCTGAAGGGGAGGGGAGACCAAAGAGGTTCAGGGCGAATTGAGTTGACCTAAATTTGTCCTTGGATATTTGCTACTAACATGCCCTAGAAGGATCATTGCCATTGTTGAGTTACCATAAAGATTAAAGTAAAACTTGTTTATCCTTATATTCATAGATTCAAGCCTGGTAATAGAGGGAGAGTCTTCCTACATTCATAATATAAATAAAGAAGCAGTCATTTGCCTATGAAGCTGCCCATGTCACATATTTAGAGTCAAAAAATTTTTTAAATAAAAAATGATCTAATTCCAATACATTTTTATTTTCATTAAAATTGAGAATGCTACCGTGGTGAGTGAGCAAATGTAAATCAGGAAGGAAAGCA